ATAATATTTTTACCTACAGGACAGCATTTGTTTTAATGTAAGTTAATACAAGAGTTTAGCCTGTCTATTAAAAAACCTGAACATCACCTGTCAAATCTAAAAGTTGACTGTATTCCCAGCTTTTGCTTCAGTGGTTTTTCTTTGCTTTCAAATGCTTGCTCTTATTTCTATCACCAGTATTATTAACACATTTTCCACTTGTTCTTATCACCAATTCCTAAGGGAGCAAAATGACCCATAGATAAAGCTATCTTACTTATTTGAATACCATTAGTTTCCTAAATAACATAGTTAATGGGTAACATAAATCATATTTCTTAATAAGGTATAGTATTAGAATAAATCTGTGAGTTATCAAAATTTAAGGATTGGAAGAAATGTGTAATCCCTATAGGTATTAATGATGTGTGTAACTAGTTTCTGAGTAAAAAGGAAACAAGTGCAGTAAATAAAGTCAATAATGAATACTAATTTCTCAGTGGAAAGATGTTCCTTTTATATTCCTTCATATTATGTATATGGTATCATCATTTTTCATACATTTTATTTACTTCAGTTTTTATTCCTTTTATAACTTGACTTTATGTGTATATTTGTAATTTTTTTTAGTATGGTAATTAAGAACTAGCTAAAATTTATCTCAAACCCATACAATAGCAAATTAAATTATTATAGCTTATAAATTGTAATTTCTCTTTGCAGATAGTAAATAAAATGTATTTTCTTCCATAAACTTAGGAACTTAGTCTTTTCCAGATGTTACAATGGTTATGAATAAAAAATTGGTGTGAAATTAGTTGCTGTCTGATTTACATTCTGTTTTAAATGCGAGAGTAAATGAATGGTTCATAGATTTGAATGCATGTTGTCTTATTGGATAGATTGGTCTATTTAGCTATTTGACAAACATTTATTGAGCCTCTGCATTATGCAGTTCTGGGTCCTATGCTAGAAGTTAGAGTTTCAAAGATAGTGAATGTAAGATAAATTCTAGCTGAAATAAGCAGGTGAAGAGAGGCAACAAAGGGCCAGGTAGTTTATTTGAATGCAAATGCCCGGGTGATGTTCCCTGGTCTGGCTTTCACAGGCTGGGGAAGTCACACCGGGTCAGGGAGGTGGGGGCTTATAAGGGGTTAGGAGCAGGAGGAGTGGGCAAGCTACCCTAGGGGGCATGGAGAGGTATGATTGGCTAAAGGTGACATGATAGACAACTATAAACTTTTTTCCTTCCAAGAGGGAGGAGGCTGGCATCCGGGTCTTAGTTGGCACATCAGAAGGATGGAATTCAGGAAGAGCTGTTCCCTTTCCTTATAAGGCACGGACCTTGAGGTCTGGTCTGTTCTCCTTTTATGGTATCTCTGTTCTGTTTGCATGTTCTTGTTTTTCCTTCCTCCAGCCTAACAGTAAAGACATGTGCTTCCCTGAATTTGTGGCATTTTGTCTATTCTTTATGACTTAGGACAGTAGTGACTTATTAAAAGATAAGAAAAAAACCTTTTAAGTTTCAGGTGTGTGACTAAAATACCATACATATCAGTTCATTCGGATTTTAATCTCTGTATCTGATATCCAATGGGTTTCTTAAGGTAATCTTTGAAGCTTTAGGGCTGCTTATAAAAGTGTTTTAAATAACCTCCAAGTATTTGTCCTATGCTTAAAGTCCAGCAGCCATTCTGGAGGGGAGAGGTGTGAGGAGCTCTTATGGAGAAATGGAGGGAAATGGAAGGGAATCCTAAGAATTTTCTTACAGTTTTCTTGTTAGGAAGGCTTTCGAGCTCATTATTTATCTAAAAGATAGCTCTGAGTAAACTAGTCATGACAGTACTTTAGGCCTGATGGGTACCTAACTCCAGGATAATTTGGCTGAAGGCTCCGCAATGTGCTCAGTCTAATCTGGCAGCTGCCATCCAACCACCTGTGGCTGTTTAAATTAAAAAAAAAAAATTTGTATTAGCCACATTTCAAGTGCTCAGTTGCCACATGTGGCATATGGCTACTTTATTGGACAGTGTAAAAATAGAACGTTTCTATCATCTTGGAAAGTTCTTTTGCATAGCACTGATCTAGGTAACAAAGTTACATGAGAAAGATGTTAGAGGGGTTTTAGTTGTGTGGAGATTGTATAGAATTGAAAAGGATATTTTAACTGAGATCCTCTAAGACTTTGAATGTGATATTCATTGATGTTTGGAACATATCAGGTGTTTAATTCTTATACTTTGCTCCCAAAGTAAAATAAACAAAATTTAGTTTTACTTCAAAATTACAGATGTTGGTATGTTTGACTCTTAGGATGATTCTGAATTTCATTGTGCAGTCTTCTAAGGCAAATACTGATTTAACAAGGTTACTTCTTTTTTTTTTCCATTAATTAATTAAGCCCCTGAAGTTTTCAGACTTTTTAGCTATTTCGGTAAATAAATCCTCATCTATTTCACCAATCCCTTAGCTCTTTCCAAGCAGCAAATAATGTTTTTATGTTAGAGGGAAGTGCTCCCATTCTTTAGTTTCCTACTCCACTTTAGTGAGGTGAAATTAGAGAAAAAAATATTTGTCATATAGCAGTACTTTTTGTATGAATATATGGTCAAGATTAATAAAATCTATCATTTTTCTTTTCCTCTAAATGGACATAACTTTGTCATTTTAATACACTGCACTGATTAGAAAAAAATGGACGATAGAAAAGTTTAAAGATCTGAATGTGAAAAAGTGAAAGATCTCTCTTGGTCTTAATGGCAATAGTTCTAGTGTGTACCTTGCGTCTGATAATGGTTGTTGGTTTAAGGTAACGTACATGTCTTTTTACAGTATTAGTAGTTTAAAGCAGAAAAACATCTCTGTAGATACAAGAGATTTGATAGTATTTAACATCCATTTTTGATAATTTAAAAATTTCTTACTAAAATGAAAATATTTCAATAAATATATTTGGTTATATTAATAGATTTTTCTATTTTGGTCATGGTGTATTACTATTTTAATATACTACTTGATTCTTACTGCTAATATTTATTTAAAAAATAAGTTGGTATTTTTTCTTTTTTGTCACCAGATTCTATTTTTTTGATGGAGTATCATTGATAGACAATCTTATATTGGTTTCAAATGTACAACACAGTGGTTCAATTTTACCCATATTATTAAATCCTCACCCTCTCTAGTGCAGTTACTATCCATCAACATAGAAAAATGTTACAGAATCATTGACTATATTCTCCATGCCATACAACAGTCCCCATGACCAACTTATATTGTGATTGCAAATCATCGTGCTCCTTTATCCCCCTCACCCTCTCCACCTGCCCACCCCAACCCCTCTACCTTGGTAACCACTAGTCACTTCTCAGTGTATTCGAGTCTACTGCTATTTTGTTCCTTCTATTTTGCTTCGTTTCTATATTCCACAAATAAGTGAAATCATATAGTATTTATCTTTCTCTGCCTGGCCTATTTCACTGAGCATAATACCCTCTAGATCCATCCATGTTGTTGCAAATGGAAAGCTTTCTTTTCTTCTTATGACTGAATAATATTCCATTGTGTATGTACCACATCTTTATCCATTCATCTACTGATGGACACTTAGGTTGCTTCCATATCTTAGCTATTGTAAGTAATGCAATGATAAACATAGGGGTGCATATATCTTTTTGGATCAGGGATTTTGTTTTCTTCAGGTAAATTCCTAGAAGTGGAATTACTGAATTGAATGGTATTCCTATATTTAGTGTTTTGAGAAACCTCAATACTGCTTTCCACAGTGGTTGCACCAATTTACATTCCCCCCTACAGTGTAGGAGAGTTCCCATTTCTCCACCTCCTTGCCAACATTTGTTATTTCTTGTCTTTTGGATAGTGGCCATTTTAATTGGTGTGAGGTGATGTCTCATTGTGGTTTTAATTTGTATTTCCCTGATGATTAGTAATGTGGAGCATCTTTTCATGTGTCTGTTGGCCATTTGTATTTCTTATTTGGAAAAACGTCTGTTCAGGTCCTCCACCCATTTTTTAGTTGGATTGTATGATTTTTGGGTGTTGAGGTGTGTGAGTTCTTCATATATTTTGGATGTTAAACCTCCAGATAAACTGTTTATGAATATATTCTCCCATACTGTAGGATACCTTTTTGTTTGCTGGGTGTCCTTTGCTGTACGTAAGATTTTTAGTTTGATTTAGTCGCACTTGTTCATTTTTTATTTTGTTTCCCTTGCCTGAGGAGATGCGTTCAGGAAAAAGTTGCTCATGTTTACATTCAAGAGAGTTTTGCTTATGTTTTCTTCTAAGAGTTTTATGGTTTCGTAACTTACATTCAGGTCTTTGATCCATTTCGAGTTTACTTTTGTATATGGAGATAAGACAGTAATCCAGTATCATTCTCTTACATGTAGTTGTCTAGTTTTCACTTCTGTCATTATGAATTCTTCTCTTCTGAAGGATCACTGATACTCAAATGGTTTTTTCTCCATCAGGTATGTTACTTTAAGTGAAGATGAAGTGAGAAGTGAAAATTGCTTGTTTGTGGTGTAGGCTTCCTACTTCTATAAAATTGCAACACCTATTGTAATAGGTAGTTGCTTAAACAGAATTCAAGATACTGTAATATGGCTGTGACCAGTTGCAGGCCATAGCTTTCCTTCCTTTGCATCATGGTTTTGATGAAAGGATATTTTGAAAGAATTAGGTGTGCAGTCTGTTTTTCTTTTAAATAAAATTTGTCCATTTGAAATCTTTCAGCATGGCATCCTCATGCAGCACTTTGCTAGCTTCATGTACACTATGCAAGATTACTTGCAGAGGTCACACTTCCCTACGTAAGGATCTTATTAGTTCACAGTAAAATGAGTGGTGGGTGAGTTTGAATACCAGTAACATTTTAGAACATTAAAAAAAGTTGAGAATATAAAAACTAAGTTGTATTTAGTCACCATCTATCAATTAACACTTTTCTGTTTATTGAAATGTTCATTTTTGTTGATACTATATGTATTTTTCTACAGATATAAGCGTGTCTTTTCAGTTGGAACCCATGCGATTACTACATACAATCCCAATACCTTGGAAGTAACAAATCAGGTAATCCTGTAGGAAGCTGTTAGGCATTTGTTTGAACTCCATTTGAATTTAAAAAGCCAGGATATGACCCTTGACTCCCTGGTCTGAAGTCTGTACTTTAGGTTGGAAATATCAAATGTGAAAGAGATTGGTAACTGATAAGCTTATATAATACTCAGTGCTCAGGACCAAAAATAAATAAAAGATGTGTTTGTGAGGGAGAATGTGCTTATTCTAGGCTCTAAGGGGTATAATATTTTGATATGTTACTACTGATTGTAGCCATCTCTTTTATGGTAAATTCTTTATAATATTAAAGGCTATACTGTTACTGTCATACAGGCGTAAGTACGATTATTTATAAAGGTAAGACTAACCTAATATGGATAAGTAAACATACATAAATACATTCCAGCTTATTTTAATTCTAAATTAAGCATGCTTTACAGGTTCTGTGTTTGTTTTTAACAAATTTGCAGGTAAATTTTATGAAAAAAATTAAGAAATTTTATGGATATTTCATAAAATTTTATTTTCTGGTTCTTTTCACTTCTGTTGTATTAATTGCTTTGGACTAATGTCATTAAATTTGGAATACAGATAGGATATTGTTGTCTGTGATGACTAAAAACCTTTAAAAGAATTTGTTATATAATAACTTAAGATGTAACTTCTTCTAGACCTCTGTATTACTTTGTAAGATTTTTCTCATTTAACCGGTGGTTGAAATTAAAGTACTAAAAATAGTGTTTGATTTCACTGTTAGAACATCAATTGAAAGAATTCCTTCCTTTTTGTTAGTGGCCTTATGGAGACATTTGTAGCATCAGCCCTGTTGGAAAAGGACAAGGAACAGAGTTCAACCTCACATTTCGTAAAGGCAGTGGGAAAAAGTCAGAGACCTTAAAATTTTCTACAGAGCACAGAACAGAACTTCTTACAGAAGCATTGGTAAGAGAGATTCTATATTAATAATATAAATTTCTGTTTTCTTTTCAAAATGAAACAGTTACATTAAAGTACAGATATTAATGTTCTAAGCCTCTGTTCCCACTGTATTTATTGACCTTTATCTTGACACTTAAACTCTTACTTTTCTCTAACTGAAAGGCTAGAAAATCCTGCATATTTGATAATTTCTAAAAGTCTTTTTAAGTACATATACAGAACAAAGCAGTTGTATGTTTAATCTGTCTTGTTTTTCAGTAAAGCTTCAACTTTTTTTTATTGAATATCCTTAAACTATAACCAAAATTTCAGTAACATTTTTTATTATCAAAGTTACCAAATTGGGATTTTACTTGTTTTGGATAGGATAGGAAGGACTGAAGTATGAGTCCTCCTTATCTGTCTGTTATGATAAAATGTGATTATGTTTTCTTTTTCAGAGATTTAGAACTGATTTTTCAGAAGGAAAAATCACAGGAAGGGTAAGTATTTAACATTTTAATACCTATTTTATTTGTTCAAATGTTGTACTTTATTGTAGAGACCATTCCATGATCTGTGTGTTCCTTTAATGGCAAAGCTAAAGTAAAAAAAAGAAATGTAATTCTGATGTCTCCAGATACCTTGTGATTGAGATATAAGAAACTCAGATATGAGGAATTAGGTTTATGACTATTAATGCTGATATATGGGGGAAAAATCTTAAGGTACTACTATGGAGCATTAAAAACAAAGCTATAACCATCAGGGAGTCTTTATTGTGTATTCTAAATAGCAACAGTAAGCATCACACCATGAGTAATATTGTTGGCATATATAGTAGTTATTTGGTATAGGAGATTCCTATTTTAGAATTTAAGGTTTGAGTGTGTTCAAACTGCGTTGTTACACTTGCAGTGGATCTGACTCCTAATGAAGCTTGCGTTGTGCACTGACAACTTTGGGAAAGTTGTAGTTGCCTGTTAGAATCTTTTTAGTTTCCCCAGGTCTTTTCTAGTTATGTTACAACGGGGTTTAAACTAAATCAGAGACTTATGGGGAGGAAAAATAGAGCTTTAATGCTTTCTTCACTCCCTTGATATATCTTTTCATGAGAAGGTATTGCTTTTATAAGTGGTGGTGGGTGGTTGGGAGTGGAGAGGAAGGGGAACAGAAAAATGCCCAAACTCATAGCACTGTTCAGAACTCTGTCTTCTGGCAAAAGGCAGGAACCTAATTCTAATATGCTGGCAGCACTATTCCCTTGTCTTTTTTAAGGCCTCATCCTTTTTATGGATGTCTTACTGCTTGCTTTTGCATCCTGGAAGCCTCACTGATCTCATCTCAAGCAATTGGCTGGTTGCCCAAGAGCCATTTAAAATAGTTTAATGGTACTTGGTGAGCTGCTTGTTTCTTGTTCCTGATGAGCCACAAATTTCTATAAATCATACTTTGATATACTAATTTTAATTAATCTTCTGCTAGCAGGTGAGTTTTCTTATATATCTCATCTGCTTGGAAAATAACTGCTTTCAAAAGCATGCTTACACATTTTGTTTATAAGTTTCTCTATGTGATTTGACTTCAGCAGCTTAATACTTTTCAAAACTTTATGGTGGGAACAATATCTCTAGAAGATGGCCTGAAGGACAGTCCACCTGATTTTTCATTAAGAGCAAGTAGCACCTCCTACTGTCCAAATGCTCTTTTGGCTATGCAACACTTGTATAAGTTGAATTTGGCCTTCAGGCCTTGAGTTGCCCCCAGATATACTCTAAATCAGGGCTTTTTAAGTTACTCTCTTGGCCTCCCCAATCCTGAGGTATAATGATATGTTTCCACTGGTACATGTCATTATGACAGTTGATTTTCAGCTGGGCAGAATAGAGAATATTCTGCAGAAGATCCTGCAGCATTTAAACAAGCATAGTTTGGAAAAGCACCACCAGTTTTGTGGCATCCCTTCTACTCCCACTCCTGTTGGAGAGGTGGGGTGCTGCTCCACCCTCTAGTTCAGAATCAAGGCTCTAAATATATTTTTGGCTTATTGCAGGCCCTTTTGTCTTTCTGCAGAGTTCCTTTTATGGAACTGTAATCTGCATGATGCCATTGATCAGTAATGCTGGGGGGCTTGAGGTGGTATGATCCTATGAACCTCTTTGCTGAGTTTAGTTGTGGGATGTTGATGGAGGTGTTTGTTACTTAATGCCTTACGTTCTTTTCTGAACACCTAACAAGAGAATTTATTTCTCTCTTATTTCAGTATTAAGAATAATTGTTCTTTTGAGCAACCAGTTTTTTTACCTTAAGAGTCATGCAACTGACCTTGTGTTCATCATCATCATATTGATGGGTAGAAAACTTTGTGAACTTCTTAGGCAGGCAAGGGAATATTTATTTTACATGTGATTTTGTTACCCTTATTTTGTCGTTGCCTCACTTTGCTTTAATTTTAAGTTATTTTCTTCTGTATTCTGTTTTGGTTAGCAGCCTCGGCTAAACATTTTTCTCTTTCTAAGAATAACACTAGGTAGTAGATGCATGTTGACCATTCTAATTATTTCTGATACTACATACTTTAATTTACAAAGGAATGTTATCATCTGAGTGGAATTTTACTTGCTAATGCAATCAGACTAAAGATAACTGTCCATTGGTGTTATTAGAAAAAGCCTGATGCCACACTGAGGCTTCAGCGTTAGTGTGTGTGTAGAAAGAAAATCTATATTAATAACAGGTGACTCTTGTACAATATGGTTTTGTATTGTGCAGGTCCACTTATATACAGATTATTTTCAATAAATATATTGGAAATTTTTTTGGAGATTTGTGACAATTTGCAAAAACATTTCTGTAGCTTAACTTATTGTAAGCATATAGTATATAATACATGTACAAAATATGGGTTAATTGACTGTTTATGTTATGGGTAAGGCTTCCAGTCAACATTAGACTATTTGTTAGTTGTGTTTTTAGGGAGCCAAAAGTTAAACATGAAATTTTGACTGTGATGGTGGGATTGGTGCCCGCAGCCCCCATGTTGTTCAAGGGCCAGCTGTATAATTAACTGGCTCAGGTTATTTAAATTGAATACTGTACTTCCCTGAAATGTGACTTAGCTCTTTTCTCTAATTTGGATTAAAAAAATCCATCAGCGAAAGTTGTGTAATCTTTTTTCCAATAAAACTTCCAGGTTAATATTTCTGTTTGGGATTTTTTTTTTCTTTTTAGATATTTGTATATGAGTGACTTAAAATTGTTTTTTTACAAGTGTTGTAATCCAGATCTTTGTTAATTTAAAAAGGACATATTTTCTTTAGAGCAAATATTCTTCACTAACTATACACAAACCTCCAAATAGTTAAAGTTAATGTTTTTAACAACTTGGGTATTAGCTCTAGATACTTGTGATATTGTTTAGATTTTTGGCTGGTTTAGCTGTGACTAATACATTCGATGTAACTTTATTTTTGGTAAGCTTAACTGTGAGCCTGAAAGTAATACTCTTTCTCTCTCTAGAGATATAACTGCTATAAGCATCACTGGAGTGATGCAAGAAAACCTGTCATTTTGGAAGTAACTCCTGGAGGCTTTGACCAGATCAGTCCTGCAACCAACAGAGTCCTCTGTTCTTATGACTATAGAAATATTGAAGGCTTTATAGATCTCTCTGATTATCAAGGAGGGTTTTGCATACTTTATGGAGGATTTAGTAGATTGGTAAGTAGTGTTTTTAAAAAGTCATTTAAAAAGTGACATGACATTTGAAAGAGCAGGGTTTTTAATACTTAAGTTTAAACTTACAGCTCTCTAAAATGAGAATATTATGCATTGTATGTCATAGGTTTTTTTTTTTTTTAAGGATTAGGTGAGTTAATTATGTTAAATGCTTTAACACATTCAAGATATGGTTAGTTAACAGTTGTTATTTTCATTAATATTAATGTCTTACTTGAAAGTTTCTAAGATTTCTTTGAAAAGGTAGTTTAGAATATTTTTAGTCTTCTTTCCTTTGCCCAGCTGTTTGTAATCTGAAATCTGAATATTCATTGAAACTTCAAATTAGGAATTAATTTCATGTTTATGTCTTGAAATACTGAACTCTATGTAAATTGTGGTATAGCAGAGGCCACTTAAGATGCTAAGACCCTGGTTGTTAACTGGTAATAGAAGCAGAGGTATAGATGATGGCCACCTTTTTTTTTTTTCCCCTGAAGAAACGTCCTGTCTTCTATAATCAAATCCCACATCTCAAAGAGCAGTAAAGTCTCTACATGGAAAAATTAAGTCAAATTTATGCTCAAGATTCCTTTCTGTTGGGAGTTTTAATTCATGTTACTACACTACAACATTAAGTGTTCTGTAGATAAATTATCCTTCCCTGGGTAGCAGAGCCAGAGCAAGCCTGGAAATTTCAGTTACACAAGAGACTAGAAGATCAGAAAGGAAATAAGAATGATGGGGAAGTAGCTTAACTACTTGATTTGCAAGATATATTTGCTCTTCAGAGTTACAGGTCTTTTTTCATCCTAGATTTCATTATTTACCCAAGTGATAAGTACCATCCTAGTGTTCCTGACCTAGGAACATACTCTAGACGTATTATTACCTCTGAGTCTAGACTTAGAAGATGAAAGCCCAAAGGGAAAATTAGTACTCTGTCCCACCATAAAGCAGCCTAAAGCCTACTGTGGAAGAGCTGTTCAAAGGTTTGTCTTTTCCCTGGGCAGTGGAAACTTGTAATGATCAACCCCTTGGTGGAAAACATACCTAATTACGGTATATAGCCTTGCAGACCTTAATAGGAAAGATAACTGTATCACAGTAATTCAACCAAGTCATACAATGCATTAAATATTAAGGTTGAATATTGTCTCTCCAATGGGTTTTAGCCCTGGGCTAAAGTTCATGCTTCATTTGGTGAGACTGAAAAATGACAATGGAACGTTCTTGGGGTAAAAGGGTTTATACCCAGCTTTATTCTCATGGTGGCAGGTCAGGTAGAATTCCGTTTGTCTCCGGGCAGGTCAGCATGCAGCAAGCCGATCTCTGCCTCCAGACCTCTCTGTCCCTGCAGCTGTCTTAGTCTCTGTCCTAGTTGCTGCCACCACTCCAGCCTCTGCTCTCCTGCAGCCTTATGCAGCTGTGCAGCCCAGAGCACTGGACAGAGCTATTTATATAGAGTCAGTGATAACGTATTGCCCACATGTGTGCAGTGGGTAAGCCAACCAGGGTCAGGTGAGAATCCTGGCCATAGGAACTTTAATTTTCTCTACAAATATATCAACAATATAGTTGTTTGATACAAATAATATTAATTATTTGATACTCCTCAGTTGGCAACATTTTTTATTGTTTGATGGCATCAAATACTTTTAATTATCCACTCTACCTTTTAAAAGATGGAGCTAAACTAAATCAATATACTACAAATACGGTATCATGACATTAATTCAACAAATCTTTATTTGGTACCTTTTGCATCCATAGTGACTGTGATAAGCTGCTGAGAGTAAAACCAGGTTTTAAAACATGAGCCAGAGTTTCTCAGTAGGGGTGCTACTGGTATCTCCGCAGGACATTTCTTTGTATGGGATTCTCCTGCTCTTGGCAGAACTTTTAGCATTTCTGGCCTCCAGGCACCAAATGCAGGTAGCAATACCTTACCTTTATTTTACCATTGTAAAACACTCCTGGAGCTCGGTTTGTAAGCATCCCCAAGTCATTTACTTGTAAACATTTGCACATTCTTTGAGATAATCTTGCAATAAGACCCAGTATATAAAAAGAGATTAAACCAGAGCTTACCTTGGTTGAAACTGGGAATCCTGCCCACATAGTACCCACCACTCCCACTGGACTTGGTTGGGGGTCCCCGGGCCCTGTTTTAGAAGCCCAGAGTGCTGATGAGAACCAAATCCTGAAAAGTTAGGAGATAATTTCCATTCAGTGAGTTATTTGCAAAGCTCTATATCCCAGACTTCCTGATTTTAATTTAGTAATAGTGTTTCAGCCACAACATGCTGTATATTACCTCTGACAAGATCTACCTTTCTTTCCTCTAGAATCATTACTTCAGTCTTTTTCCTATAAGTTGATTCAAAATGGTCACATTTTAGTTATTTCAACCCTATCTAAATTTCAAAATTTGTGCAGCATTTATTTGCATCAGAGCAAAGAGAAGAAATTATCAAAAGTGCAATAGATCATGCTGGCAACTACATAGGCATTTCATTGCGCATCAGAAAAGAATCTTTACAATTTGAACAATATTTGAATCTTCGCTTTGGAAAATACAGCACTGATGAATCCATCACATCTTTAGCAGAGTTTATAGTCCAAAAAATATCACCTAGACATTCGGTAAGACCCATGTGCTAAAAATAAAAATTTCTTCATCTGATTTTGATGTTTTTCTTCAGTTAACTTTTTAATATGTCTCAATTTTGTTTGAAGGAACCTGTAAAAAGAGTTCTCGCGCTTACAGAGACATGTTTAGTAGAACGTGATCCAGCAACCTATAATATTGCAACATTGAAGCCTTTAGGAGAAGTAAGTTTCAACAGTATTAGCTTAAATAAGATTTCTTCCTACAGATAAATTAGAAAAGTTTGTCTTGATATCTTTTCATGCCTAAACAATAAGAGGAAGAATCTGCATTTAATTCTTCACATTATTATATTTACTGATCTTAGAACTGTGAATATTGCAAAATTTATCTTCCAAGTATACAATAAATGGAACTTTTAATTCAATAATTGTATGAAAATTTGAATGAGACTTTTAAGCAGTTCTTATATTCTGATATTGTAGACAAATTACAGTTTTAAATACTTTTGTAAGCTAAATGATGATATGTAGTTTTTTGAATATGTACCATAAAACTAAACCTTTTTGGTTGAACTCTTTTTCATTTTCTTTAGGTATTTGCACTGGTTTGTGACTCAGAAAATCCACAACTTTTTACCATTGAATTTATAAAAGGGCAAATACGGAAATACTCTTCAACAGAGAGGTATTTTTTTTTTTTATTCATCCTCTTATGTGTAAGGCAAAGTGTTCTGTCAAAGAAGGCCAGTGACTTATAATCTAGAATTTTAAAATAAATGTAACTTAGGAAATGAACATTATTTTGTTGCATATTTAAAATGACCTTCAGTTTTCTAATTCCTAAAGAGAATAAACATGGTAAGTTGAATTTTAATGAAATAATAAGAATAAATTGTATTTCTGTAACTTTTTAATGTAAAATTTTTAATCTGTAAATTTTAAAATAGCACCTTTCACTTTCATTGTTCAATTGTTTGGATAGTAACAGCAAGTTACTTTAATATAAATACATTTGAAGTTAGAGTTTTATAAGTTAGTAGGATCGATAGTCTGGTTAGAAATTTTCCAGTGGAATATGCCTTCATATTTTTATATTGCTGTGCCTTGGCAATTGCTATGAAAATTTGTGATATGCTATAGCCCATAAACTCCTGTAAGATAAACACATTCAAAATGTTGTTGTATTTTGAATGGTTGGAATTCCCTTTATATACTAACCCCTTGTCCTGGGTTTGGCAGTTTTTCCATTCCAGGCAGTTCTTTCATGCTGTTGTGAATAGATTGAGACTGAATCTGTTTTTAAAAGGTAGTTGAAACAGTTCTGGTACCTTTTGCCACTGTTTAAAATACAATCTTATTTTCACTTCCTGTAGTATGATCAATAACTGTTTCTTACCTTAGAAGCTTTTGATCTAAGGTCCACAAAAAGGCATCTAAGATATATTTTCCTGTCCTGAACTGAAGGAAGAGAACTTCTGAGAAAACGGTGCAGATGTTCTTATCAGAGGGAGGATCTAAGCACTTAGAGGTTGTCATGTGCTTGATGTACATTATATTGTTTAATCCTACTGTTGGTGTGGGTAGTGAGGAAGGTGCCATTATTCCCAGTAAAGCTTATATGCAGAAAGTAAAGCAATTTCTTTGTGACTTTGGATTAAGAAAAGATTTCTTAGATACAATACCAAAAGCACAGTATATAAAACAGAAATTGATTAGATTTTGTCAGAATTTAAAACTTTGACACCATTAAGTAAAGGAAAAGACAAGTCAAAGACTGGGAGAAGATACATGGAAAACAGCTAATTAAAGAGTGTCCAGAATATATAAAGAACTCTTCTAACTCCGTACTTAAGAAACCCTAAAAATCTCGAATAAGAAATAGGCAAAAGATTTAATATACACCTCACTAGAGAAGATAAATGAGTGGTAAATAAACACCTGAGGGAAAAGAAAATTAAAACTACTACTACGTATCCACTAAAATGGGTATCATCAAAAAACTGCAGTATCATGTGTTGGCAAAAGTGTGAAGAAACTCGGAACTCTCATGTATTGTTGGTGAGAATGCTTTGAAGAACAGTTTGGCAATTTCTTAAAAGATTAAACTTATACAGCTTACCCTTGAACAACGTGGGGGTTAGTGGCACCAACCCCCTTCACAGTTGAAAATCCACCTTAACTTTTGACTCCCTCAAAACTTAACTACGGGAGGCACAAAGATTTCCCATGTTACCACTTGCCCTTACCCCCATTCATAGCTTCCCTCATTATCAACATCCCCCACCAAAGTGGTATGTTTGTTACAATTGGTGAATTTACAGGTTTGGACAAATGTAAAATGACATGTATCCATCATTAGAGTATGCATAGTAGTTTCAACGCCCTAAAAATCCTCTATGTTTCACTGATTATTCCTTCCTCCCCCCAAACCTTGGCAACCACTAGTCTTTTTACTGTCTCAAAAGTTCTGTTTCTTCCAGTGTCATAGTTGGAATCATACGGTATGTTGCCTGTTGTGATTGGCTTCTTTCATTACCTCCATGTCTTTCTATCGTTTGGCTGTATTTTGGTTTATCTGTTCACTTACTGAGGGCCTTCTTGGTTGCTTCCAAGTTTTGCAATTACGAATAAAGATGATATAAACATTGATAAGTATGTTTTTGTGTGAACATAAGTTTTCAGCTCCTTTGGGTAAATTCTAAGAAGTGTGATTGCTGGATCATATGGTAAGAGGATGTTGAATGTTTTAAGAAACTGCTAAATTGTCTTCCAAAAGTGGCTGTGTGGCATTTTGTATTCCTACAGCAGTGACTGAGAGTTCCCGTTGCTGCACATTCTCACCAGCATTTAGTGTTGTCAGTAGCACAGATTTTGGCTGTTCTACTAATAGGTGTGGTATGGTATCTCCTTGTTAGTATTTGCTTTCCCCGATGACATAGAGTGTTCAGTTATCTTTTCATAATCTTAATAGCCATCTACATATTTTCTTTGGTGAGTGTTAAGGACTTTGGATCTTTCTTAATTAAGTTGTTTTTCTTGTGTTATTTTAAGAGTTGTTTGTATAATTTGGAAAACAGTCCTTTATCATTTATGTCTTCTGTGAATGTTTTCTCCTAGCCTGTGACCTGTCTTTTCATTCTTTTGGTGAAGTTTCTTGAAAAGCAGAACTATAGAGACAGAAAGCAGTATGCTTGGAGCTGGGGATATTTTTGCAGATGGGCACAAGGAGACTTTTGTGGGTGATAGAAGGGTACCAAAACTGGAATGTGGTGATGGTTACACAACTGCATAAATTTAATAAAAATTATCAAACTACATTTTAATGGGGTGAATTGTTTGATATGTAAGTTGTACCTCAATATAATTGTTAAAAATAATTTTAAAATTAAAAAACAAAAAAAATATATAGCTACAGTGCTTAAGTAACTTGTACAAAGTACATAACTTCAAAGTGAAGAGCTAATATTGGAACTCCAGTTTCTCTCCTAAAGCCCCACTCTTCTAAAGTTCTTTTGTGTATCTCCTTAAATCTAGAATGCCCCTCCTGTCTGGAGTAGTTTACCTACTAATGGGCCTGTGCTGCATTGAGTCAGAATTATCCATAATTATCAACCCTAAAACCTTCTTATTTTTAACCTTACTTAGAGATTCCTTATTAGCAAGTTTGCTGGATGGGGTGAGAGCCTCTGGTAACAGAGATGTTTGTGTAAAAATGACACCAACTCAAAAAGGTCAGCGGTGGGGGTTACTCAGCATGCCCGTTGATGAGGAAGTAGAGAGTCTCCATCTCAGATTCTTGGCTGCGCCACCAAGTAAGTTGATTTAAATGGAATTATATTTCCATCTGTCTACTGAGTAATAATTTAATAATTAGGACTGCAAACCTCTGAATCTTTCTGACCCTTTTCTTCTCCTTACAGATGGCAACTTTGCAGATGCTGTTTTTAGGTTCAATGCGAATATTTCATACAGTGGAGTTCTGCATGCAGTAACACAGGATGTAAGTTAAGTTGTATCAGAATTGATTGGTTGTCATTTACTTAACTTTTGGCATGTAAACTTTTTTGAAATAACTCTTCCTTCACTTAGGGCCTCTTCTCAGAAAACAAAGAAAAATTGATTAACAATGCCATCACAGCACTGCTGTCCCAGGAGGGAGATGTTGCTGCTTCACATGCAGAGCTTGAGAGTCAGTTCCAGGCTGTCAGGCGGCTTGTGGCTTCCAAAGCTGGTTTTCTAGCCTTTACTCAGCTTCCAAAGTAAGTTGTCTTCTGAAACTTAACTGCTCCTAGAGAATTTGAGTAACTCAAAATAGCAAATAACGATTTAACTCTTTCTGTTTGATTAAACCTGATACCTTTCTCTGGTGATGTTTTTTATTCATGAGAAATAAAAAAGGAAGGTGAGTGGAACCAAAGGGGCATATCCGTCCCATACTTACCTGTAATAGTCCTGACTCCCGTTTTAGTGAATTTAAATAGGAAAATTAAATGCTTTTTAGCTTTACTCAATCTTGAAAACAATCTTTCCCCTTTAAACTGTTACGAAAACTGATGTGTTTCAGAGGTGGGACTCAAAATATGTACATCCAGGTAGTGATACAGTGAACACTTAAGAGGACTTACTTTGTTATATTTTCATAATAAAATAATGGAATAATTCTCTGACATTGCTGTTACATGCTTGTTCTTTCATTCCGCAAGATTTCGGGAGCGTCTAGGAGTGAAGGTAGTAAAAGCACTCAAGAGGAGCAACAATGGAGTGATCCACGCAGCTGTTGATATGCTCTGTGCCCTCATGTGTGTAAGTAGTGTTCTTAAGTTGACCAATGGTTTAAATTTCCACAACCCAGATTTTCATTGTACCAATTAAATTCAATGTTTCTGTATTTCCTAAAATTGCTCTCATAGCCATTTATTTACTCAAATAAACATTTGTTTAGCCCATCCTACAAGCCAGGCACCGTGCTATTTACTAGAATTTAAAAGATGTTAAGACAAAGTTCTTTACCTTGTTGGAATTGCTGATAGCCTAGTAAGGTAGGTGTTCGTGTACAACATAAAGTAGTAGGGACCATGGGATCCCTAAAAATCAGCATTTTGGTTTTGTGATGAGGGGAAGGAAAAAGATTCTAGGCCAGTCTTTCTGAGATTTTACTCATGATTTAACTCTGGAAGGACCAGCAGGTAAATATCCATCTATGAGAAGGCTTTCCTGGGAGAGGGAATAGCATCTATAAAGGTATGTTTGGGAAACAGCACATAATTTAATACAGCCAGATCATAAGATGTGTATATAGGGGCATGTAGGATTAGGAGTTACTAACAGAGATGTGTGCAGAGACAGCCTTTTGCCAGCAGGCAAAGCAGCTAGATTCGTATCCCTTACTAAGGAACAACTGAAAGATTTTCAACAGGGGATCAGTAACATACCAGATTTGGATTTTAGAAAGCTCATTGGTGGTATGTGGAAAATAGATTAGAGGTAAAGTTAGAGGCAGGTAGACCAAATTATGATGTAAGAAATGCTGAGGTAGGATAGATGCTAAAGAATACACATTTAAAAGCTGTTTGAGAGGTAAAGATCTAACTTGGTGACAAATTGTGTGTGGGAGAAGCAATGTTCAGTATAACTTTTAAGTTTTTGATTTACCTCAGTTTTGCATATAGTATATAGGACTTTATTCTGTATATAAAGTGCTTTGGGAAAATTTAGTGGTGTAGAATAAACCTGAGAAAACATTTGTATAAACCCTTGCATTTATTACCAACAGTGAATTTTGTTATCTTAACTACTCCAGATACTACCATAAAAAGAAGTGGGAAAACTAGAACATAAAATAAAATAACAATGATGTGAAAGAAGCACATTGAGTCCTTGTCAAATATTGGCTTTTAGATATGTATTTTACATGAATTAGTTCATTCCTATCTCATATAGTTATTGCCACTAATTTACAGCTGAGAAAACAGACTCTGAGAGTTGAAGTAACTTTGCCTAAGGTCAGAATTAGGTTTTGATCTTTATTCCTATCAGGCAGGGATCCTCTGCATTCTCACTCATCCTAACAAGTTAAAAAAGTCACCTTTAAGACAAGTATTTACTGCTAATTTTAGTACTTTTAAATGCTGAGTTTATCATTTCAAATTTAAATTATAAAATTGAGGGAGAGGGAATGGGTATTATTTACCTTTTAGGAAGGAGATCTTTGGCTTTGGAGAGAGTACCTTGTGTAGTGTGCTATTTGTAGGTCCTTGTTGGGCAGGTAATGAGGTCTCATTAATTTTGCTTGTGTGTCTTATCACAAGTTTATTTCTGCCTTGAACTTTGAAGGCTATGGTTTTTAATTCTTTCAGTGCTTAGTCAATAATGTTTATAAATGACATTTGTGTGGTGCCAGCACGTGGGACTGCTCATGAATTCTCACTGTCTTTAATCAATAGCCTATGCATGATGACTATGACTTAAGACAAGAACAGCTAAACAAAGCATCTCTTCTCTCTTCAAAGAAGTTTTTGGAAAACTTACTGGAGAAATTTAATTCCCATGTGGTAAGTTATAATTAAATTTGTCTTAATGAGAGATACCATACATTATTGAAAGGTGTTCTAGAAGTGCAGCATGGACAGTTTTGTGTTTTTTTAAGTGCAGTCCCAACTTTTGTCTGTATTAGTTTAGGTTGGTTATTAAAAATAAAATATTCTGTTTTAACACTGTATCCATTCATCTGAGAAAGATAAATTGCAAAGCCTTTAGATTTTTACAGTGACATTCCAGATTTTTGCTTTTTTCTCTTTCTTGAAAAACATCATTATGAAATAAGCGGGTATAAAAAAAAAGCCAAATCTTTGTTTCTCAGTCACTGGTGACAGTTGTGGAGATGGGCACTCTATAATCCCTAGAAGGGACATGAACAGTTTGCCAGGGTTTTGCAAGTATTGTCAGAGATTGCTTTTTAAACAAATACACATTAACCTTAGTTGTACTTGTTTGAGGAGCCTTGGTTATTCTTTTGAAATCTGACTAAATTTTAATTATTTTCCTTTTGAGAATATAGTAAGCAGTGGATTTGCTACGTTAGTAAAATGAGGGCTGAGAGTCATCAAACTTTGAACCTTAGGTTGAGAAATTAAATGTTTACTTCTAACATATAGAATAAGAGTAAGAAACACACTTATGTTTTAAATGAAGCTCTCTGTCCTAAGTCAAGGCAATATGTTACTTTGTTTCAGGATCATGGGACTGGTGCCCTAGTTATTAGTTCACTCCTGGACTTCCTTACTTTTGCCCTCTGTGCTCCCTATAGTGAGACAACAGAAGGGCAGCAGTTTGATATGCTTTTGGAAATGGTAGCATCCAATGGAAGAACCCTCTTTAAACTATTCCAGGTGAGAGCTTGTATTTTTCTTATCAGATAGCAACTAATCTAAGAGAGCCACTTGTTGGGCTCGTTTGATTTTAAAATAATATTTACGTGCTTCTGTAGTAATGTTGATTATAAATACAGCCTAGTACATTATCATATTAGGACATTTAATTCCACACTATTCTTAATATTTCATGTAGAGAGTTTTTGTTAATGGCTTTTGACCAGTGCTTTGTCTCTGTTGCCCAGAAATAGTTAAAAACTCATTTGTTTTTGTGATAGGCCTAAGGTTCTGTTTTCTGTACAAATTCTCAAATTATAAGATGAACTTTAGTACAGCTCTTCATAAATAATTGGAGTACTTTTGTTATTCCATATAATGCTATAGTGTTTATTATATACATATGTGCTTGTATGTGATGTTTATATTTCTGTTATTTTATATTTGTTATGTCAGTTTATATTATTATAATATTATCCAGTGTTTGATATTTATTGGTTAGGTTTAATTTATTTAGATAAGTGCCAGCTGTTTTCTACTAAAGTAAACTCTGTTTTAAGTATATGTGAAGCTATATTGTAAGAATACCTAACATTTTTAACCTAATTGACCAACTTTTAGTTGTATCCTTTACTAATTTTATGGCTTATACCTTGTATAAAATTGTATATCCTTAAGAGCAATAGCTAAATATGTTGGAATAAAATTTTTTTATTCAATACCTTTTCCCCCCTATTTTAAAGCATCCTTCCATGGCAATTATAAAGGGAGCTGGATTGGTTATGAAGGCAATAATAGAGGTGAGCGAACAGTTTTGAAGTTTTAAACTTAATTGATGGTTTAATTGGCTATTGTAACTGAAACTGACAAAATTATCTTTCAGTCTTTTATGAAAAACATACACTTTTTCTGGATAAGAAAAGTAATTTTAAATCTTTATTCAGAAATTAGTTCTAAACTAGTTGCAGAAACAATGCTCTAGTAAACTTAAAGTTCTTCAGTGGGTTTAGAGCAAATAAATCTGTTCCTACATTATTTGTTTTATTTTAAAAGAATTAAATGTTGGCATTCTTTCTCTTACTCTGTTTTGGAAGGGTATGGTTGTGACAGTATTGAAATCTATAGGCACTGAGGTTGCATAGAAATCTATTAATTGGAGTTAGTTCAAAGCAAAGTGGTATCAAATAATGGTAACAAAAATCAGTTCTTGTGCTAAAGTGTGTAATTAAACTCCAGAGGATAGGACATCTAATGTTGAACATGGGGTATTGCTTCTCAAAGATAATTGCTTTATTATTAGCCTTCTGTGTTTTTTTTAGAAGATGAAATTGTGGCAATAGATTATTTTGTTATTGTAGTAATTTGGATAAAATGTAAGAGTCTTTGTCCTTTATATAAAAAAATTCAATGATGGTGGTTCATAAATACAACATGTAGCTAAATCACAGAATTAGTATATACTCTCAAGTAGCTGTTAAAAAATTATATATGGACATTAAACTGGTTGGAACACCAGAATTTATTTGCATTTTTAGTGTGTATGTACAACTGAATGCTAATTTTTTCCCTCCAGATAGTGGGTCCTGTGCTCAATTTTAGCTTCCCAAGTAAGAAACACATCTCTCACTGAAAGAACTTGTAGTAGCTGAGGAGAGTTAGGACCATGAGACCAAACAAAAGTGTATTCCTGACCCTAATCCACCAGTATATTGCCATTCATTCAGAAATAACTTAATTGAATGCCAGGTATAATCAAAATGGTTATGTGTCACATACCACATGTGTCAAGATTCATACATGGTGACTATAGCTTATGTCTGTAAGGAAGACTTTATTTATTTACACTGAAACCCTAGCAGGTATCTTAAATTATTTTTTCTGATTGTAAAAGCCATAATGATCTTTGAAGAAACACTGAGATTTACAGAAAAAAATAGAAGAACAAATAAAAATACATCATCTATATTTCATCATCCAAATAAAGGTTAACTGCTATTAGCGTTTTGGTAAATTTCCTTTCAGACTGTATACTGTTCAAAATGACATACATATATATATACTATGTATATATTTGTATACATATTACATATTCATTTGGACTGATACATGTACATACTCATACTATGTGTGTATTGGTATAGATACTACATATTCAGTTGTACTATATACTTGTACTTGGTTCACTAACATTGTGATTGTTACCACTTTCAACAGGTCTTAAATATCATACTGCTTACTTAATTCATGATTCTATGATTACCTTTGATGCATCCTATCTATCTTACCCTGTTGCCAAAGTGCTACATCACATCATTCTTTAAAAAAAATTGTATTTACCATGAAAGTGAATATATTATTAATAACAAAAGCAAGTCTAGTTTGCAGATGCCTGTTTAGTAGGAATTGCTGCTTTCTCCCAGTCACCTTTCCCTTTCACTGGCTGACATATACTCCGGGAATGAGCCTGATTTTAGTATTAAATTAAGGAAAGCATAATTCATAAGGTAAATGTATCTGGAAACATTTAAAACCTCATTTCAAAGGCACATAATATTTAAAAAATTGTACTACTTACTCTTCACCTCTGTTGTTTATTGGGTAATTGAAATTGCATTTTTAATTTTTATTATACTGTATGCTGAATATTTTATCTAGAGGTGTAAAATTAGTTGTATGATAGGATAGCCTCCTCTTGCTCTAGATTGCTGCTTTAGGGATCATCTTACCCTTTTTTCAAAGGAAGGTGACAAAGAAATTGCTACGAAAATGCAGGAGCTTGCCCTTAGTGAAGGTGCCTTACCTCGACACTTGCATACTGCGATGTTTACAATAAGCTCAGATCAAAGGATGCTTACAAATAGGTAGGTTGAATTTAATTTGCTATAAATCAACTTGCTGTTTAGAGAATGGATTCAGTATCACATAAGACAAACTGAGTAAGTGTTTGGTTGCACACGTTTCATTTTCTTTTGTTTCATCTAGTTCTCCTTTTCCTTTACTTATGGAAGGATTGTGCCCAGATGATCATTATCCCTGTTCTTGGATAACTTGGGAGGAAAAACAGCCTGGCATTGCTTCCCCCTCTCCTGCCCCCATCCTTATCTGGCCTTACACCTGTAGTCACGAGACTAGAACATGGAAGAGAGTGCCTGGAAGCTTATGAAAATAGAACCACATGCCCAGGCCTTTTCTCCTTGTATTTCCTTCTGGCCATCTTGTATGCAGATGACCCTATGTGAAAACCTCTCATAGTCAGTTTTTAAGTATCTTTGGTCACGTAGGTACTCTATTCAAAAAATAAAGGAAACCTTAATATCTAGCTAGCCTAACCTAGGCCGATCCTAAATCTCTTGTAGCTAAACAATTTCCCCTGTGGCAAGTCATCTTTTTAAATAATCATTCAAATATAAGGAAACACATAAAATCTATTTATTTACTCCAAACAATGTGAATTCCAGTCCTTTGTTTTTGAGTCTTGGTATGTGCCCCTTTTGCTATCCTTAGCATACCATATTATGACTCAGGTCTCATTAGTTAGAAAAAAACAGAACATTATAAATATTTTTAACCATGTTCTTTTTGACTTTAATAACATAACTGCTGACTTAATGTTTATGATACTGTAAATTTCCTTTATCATGTCTGGTTATTGGATATTGTAGTATGCTGCCTTGACAACATTTTTCTGATTATGCTGTTTAAGAAGCTGTCTCCATCCCTCACTTGTAAATATTAGCCACAGAAGTAGTCTTTTATGTTGTCTTGGAGGACAAAACGTTATAAAAGGAAGGTTATTTCCTTGGCATAGTGCCTTATTAGGCACGAAAGACACCATCTTTTGTTAAGATAGAGACTTATTTGATGTTCTATTCCATGTTTTATTCCACCCAGTGTTAAGTATTTGCTTGTTTTCCTCTTTGTTATTATAGGTAATCGGTTATATTCCCTACTGTGATCATCACTGTCAATTTATAATAGAAATACCACTTCATTTGCATTTCTTTATCCTTTACAAATTGCTATTATAAAATCTCTTTTATTCCTAATGAAAGTCTTTTTAGGAATCACTGATGATATCTATCAAATTCCAGTGAAAGAGACTATGTGTCATTACTTAAATATGTTAATTTCTAAGTAGATACAGGAATGAACAATTTTAGTAGTGTTCCCTTTCTTTCATGACAGAACAAAGTACAGTTTGGGGTTTTCTATTGAAATTTTTCTTCTGGGAGTATAACTTGTATAAATACATCTTATTTGGTGATTTCCTCACAGGTTTCATGCCCTAGCAAATGGCAGTTGAATCCCTGCCAAAGTGCCAGAAGGGTCATTGGTGAATAAAATAATTATCTGCTCAATAGAGCTGCTAGCATAGGAGACAGATGTGGTCATGAGGATTAAGATTAATAAATGACTAAAACACAGATTCAACATGGGTCTTAGTTTAGCTCTAAAGCTGCATGAGTAGAATAATTTGCTTTAAGGGCTTAAAGTCTGTCCAAATTCCAAAATTGAAAATACTTTCTCTCTTTGACCTTGCCAGAAACATTAAATTAGAACATTGTTGTTGACTTTTGCTCATATTCAGAAATCTGAAGAATGCCAGGATGCAATGATCACTCTATCAGGACTTGTTATGCAAATTAACTGTGTCATCAAGTCTTATTTTTTAAATTTTTTTATTTTTTCCCTATCTTTCAGTGGGGTGACTTCTTCATGTTCAGGTCCATTGAAAACCAGTTTATCAGGGAGCATTTTGATTTGGAGAAAATTCTAAAATGTTAGAAATATTTGAATTGCCATTTCATACATCTTTCCACATTAAAATATTAACTTTTAAAATACCTAAAACCAATAATATTTTTACTGTAGCCATATTTTTTATATGATAAATTCTTAAAAATCCTTTCTGTTCTAGATGAGGTAAAGCAGCAAACCTTTCTCAACATCTGCTTTTTTCAGACAGCTCAGTAGACATTTAGTGGGGCTCTGGACAGCTGATAATGCAACTGCAACAAACTTGTTGAAGCGCATTTTGGTAAGTCATTTGAATAATTGGAAAGATTTAGGATATCTTGCCTAATAAAATTTCATTAAGTAAGCATTTATACTGTTAAAGTGTTTTAAAAATGTGTTTGTTTTTCAATTTAAAAGATATTCATATAAGACTTGCCATGTAATAAATACTACTCTCAATGGCTAAATTATAGTATAAATTGATTTGGATTTTGAAGGCTAAAATTTTCTTTTGTGCATTTGTTCTGAAAATGGATCTTATGTTTTTGTTTTTGTTGCTTTTAGCCGCCAGGCTTGCTGGCATACTTGGATAGCTCAGATCCAGTTCCTGAGAAAGATGCTGATCGGATGCATGTTAGAGATAATGTGAAAATAGCAATGGTCAGTATGGTTGCCCCAGTGTCTTTTCAGGAAGAAAACAGTACTCTTTTGAAACACCCTAACATTTTTTGAATAAAACTAAGAATTCACTGCATTGAATAGTAGTAGTATTTTTATGTTATTAACAGCTTTATTGAGGTAAAATTTGTATCCCATAAAATTCCCATTATAAGTGTACAATTCAACAATTTTTAGTACATTTACAGAATTGTGCAACTATTACCACAATCTCACTTATGAATAATAGTAATCTTACATTTTTTGATTCTCTACTTCAGCTTATTGACATGTAGGGAATTTTTTAATTCCAAATGTGTAATATGATATTTTATGAATAATATGTGATTGATAAATGTTGATGAAAGGAGCCAACGTTGAAAAAAACTAACTTAGGTAGGACCTTTTTCCTTACAAAAGCTACCTTAACTATTTAGGTTGGGCTATCTCTAAGAAAATTACTTATGCATCTTTTGACATTATCATAATGTCTTATCTGTGTTCATTTCCTGTCTTCACCCCATTTCTCTATCTGTACCCATCTCCCACTTGAATCTTGCTGCCCCTGAAATAAGAATCATTTTGGAACTTAAGCAGGAAAAGTTGAGATTTCATAGACAAAAAGTAGAACTTACTGTAGAAATTTTCATTTTGTTTCTTCATTGAGCCCCAACATCCAGTATTTATTTTACCATGTAAAACATATAAATTTTAATTATGTTAAAATATGTAGATTTTAAAATAAATTTGCAAACAGGACTGTAATGGATTTCAAAATTATTTTACAGGATCAGTATGGAAAATTTAATAAAGTTCCAGAGTGGCAAAGACTAGCCGGGAAAGCTGCTAAAGAAGTTGAAAAATTTGCCAAAGAAAAAGTGGATCTTGTGTTGATGCACTGGAGGGATAGAATGGGCATTGCGCAAAAAGAGGTAAAAATAAACTCTGATTCCAAACTTCTAGCACTTTGGTATGTCCTAGGTTTACTTCAATTATTGCTACTCAGAGTTGGTAGTCAGATATTTCTGACTGAACACATGAAGAAATGTCACGTAATTCTGCATCATATATTTATGTAAATTTTTAGTTCATAGTTTCATGAATCAGTGATTATTTGGTATTTAATGTGAAATTCAATGTAAAATTCCACTCTAAAATTAATTTTTCCTTCGTAACTTCCTCTTTCCATACTTTTTTATTCATATGTATCTATTTCCTTCTTCCGTCTCTGAATTTTGTTTTGTAGCTATAAAAATAAAGGTGCTCTTCTTGTACAGCTTTTTTATTCAGAGCTAACCACATGTGTTTTGGACATAAGATTCACATTTCAAAATTAAATTTACTGTGTGTACTTAATTTTTCAGTATTAGCTTCTCAAATGAAGGTGAGATCTAAGTTTTAGTCTCACTCTTTAGCATGTAGTATGTGCTACAGAATGTAATTCAGTATTACATATTCTTCTTTCTAGGGTGGTTAAAAATGGAGTGGTTAAGAATGATTTAAGGTGTCCTGTAGAAGTTGACTTGATCTCAGTCTTTGTTGACTATCCTTACATTCTTTATTCTTTCCCTTTAACCATCTCTTTATTTATGGTAGCTGTTTCCTTATTCCTTATTCAAGGAAAGTAATATAAATATCATTCCAAAACAAACAGGTTTCTTTTGAATTTCCAGAATATCTAGATGTAAGGTATCGGGTGCAACAAGACAAGTATGTGCGTCTTGTGTATCTATCTGAAATTGAGACCATAATTCAGTTCTTTAGAACTTGAGCATAATGGGTTAATGCTAAAATGTATGAGTGACATATGCAGTATAAAGAGCCAGTAGACAAGCTTTCAAATGGCTGGATAGTAAAGAGAATACTGAACTTTGAATTGGGTAACCTGCATTGGAGCCTGGTGCCATCACTTACTAATTCATATAGCAAGTTAGGGTTTTCAGGACCTTACTTTCCTTTTTTTTCCGTCTGGCCCGGGGGTTTCGTTCTTGGGTAGTTTTTTGATTACCGTTTCAATTTCTTTGCTCGTAATTGGTTTGTTTAACTTTTGTGTTTCTTCCTTGGTCAGTCTTGGAAGGTTGTATTTTTCTAGGAAGTTGTCCATTTCTTCTAGGTTTTCCAGCTTGTTGGCATATAGGTTTTCATAGTAGTCTTTAATAATTCTTTGTATTTCTGTGGAGTCTGT